ATAATATTTAGGAGATTTTATACTTAGGTAAAGAAGCTATAGATATTAATTAACTCGCTAAGAATATAGTCGCCCTAGCTCCGGAAGTTTTATCTACTAGCCTATATTGCCCGGTAAAAAACCCGAAGTAGAAAATAGAACACGACGTTTTAGTAATTTTATTAAATAAAAAAGCCTTAAATACTTTAAATAAAGAAGCCTTAGGTACTAACCACCTTAATAAAAAGGATATTATTACCCTAGCTTTTAGAGGTTCTTCTACTTAATAACTTTGCCCGGTTATAAACCTAAAAAAAAGAAAGGTAATAGAGATAGTATATAATTCTTGTAAAATCTCCTCGGATAGAAAAGTTATAAACACTAACCACCTTAATAGCTTGCGCGCTAACCTTTTACGCGAATTTAAATTTCAAAAGCGTAATTAAGAGGCAGAGACCTTTAGGAAATCGAAGACTAATAACTTAGAGGAAACTAAAACTATCTAATCCCTTAGTAGCTTAAAGGGTAAGCCTAATCTAAGTTCTAAAAAAGCTAAAAAATAAGTTAATTTAAAATATATTAGGGCCTTATGCTATAGAAACTAATAAAGTCTCTGCACTATTATATTTAACTTTACTAATACCTATACCGCCCGAGGCGGCTATAGGTTCGAACCTGCAGCGGTCCCGCCGAAAATAAACGGAAATAGAGGCCTTTAAACGTGTTAATTAGGCTAAGTATATAAGAAAGAAAAACGAGAAGTTAGGGGATAAAATAATAGTTAAGTAGATAAAGTTGCAGAGTCTAAAGTCGAACCTTTTTAATAAGCTAATAGTATATTACTTTACTAAGCCGGTACAGCGCTTTAAGAAAATATTAATAAAGGAGTTTAATCGGTTATTAAAAAAAGGAAGGGTGCTGTATAGAGTAGGTTAAACGCTATTAAAAAGTTAGGAGCTAGTTAAGCTATATATATCCCTTTAGGATAAAAACGCTAATATAAACACGGCTACTTTATTTATAAGTATTTTAAAGGGGATAGCTAAGTAATAAAACTATTTTTAGATAAAAAGGCTTATAAAGTAAGTATAAAACTAATTTATTATAATATTTTTTAAATAAATTTTACTTTACTGCTTTAGTTTATTATAACTATATACTTATAATAATAAGTTAGGGGTTTAAGGCTTAGCGTTTAGTACGGAGCTATAGCAGCTAAAATAGGCTCTATAGTGCTGGCAAATTATTAGTAAAGTAGTAACGCTAGCGTTTTAAGAGAGCTATAGAAGCTAAAATAACGCTATTAAAAACGTAGCGGTATTTAGATATTATTATACGGAGTTATAGATAATTATAACGCGGACTAGTTAATTATAGGTGCTAAGCCGCGTATTTTAGGTTAACCTAGCTACTATATTACCGCGGCTAAATACAGGCGGTTAAAATATCGCTACAGGGATAAATTTTATAACTAATATTAGGTACTCTATAGTTTTATTTAGTAATAATATAGGTTATCCTCTAAAGGTAAAGTATTATTTAACTTTTATAGTAATTTCGCTAACTTTTTACAGTTATTGCAAACTAATATCGGCCACCGCCTTACTTTATTAGTTAGCTAGACAGTAGCTAGTAGGAATTATTTATAGTTAAAAATTAGCCTAGTTTAATATACTACTATACTTATATAAGCTCCGGTTTAAGGCTTAGCGTTTAATATAGTATATTACGCTATTATATATTTAGTTTTTTTTAGCCCGCGTTGGCGGATAACTTGCGTATAAGCGCTAATATCCTAAGTAGACTAGTTAAAGTATATACTATATCTACTTAGCTATAGGTTAATAAACGCCTAATTAAGTATAGAGCACTTTTCTAACGCTAGCGTATTAGAATTGCTGGCGTAACTATAGTGCCAGCAGAACGAGAACGCCAGCGTAAGTTAGTAGCTAGAGCTAAAGTAGGGCCTGTTTTTAGGCTACTTCTATTCTAAGCACGGATAGGCTATAACCTAGAAATAGTCCTAAAACAGGGCTTTTCTATAGTTATATTCTTAAGACGGCTATAGTCTTAAAATAGGTATAGCCTTAAAATAGTAGTATTTTAAGATAAGAACGTTCTCTAGGCAGTAACGCTGCTAAAACTAACCCGTTTTAAGACGGTTATATTCTTAAAATAGATATACTTATAAAACTAGAATAATTATACTTTTAGGGAAGTTGTTTATACTATTTACTTTTAAATATTCTAAGTGTATAATAAAGGGATTAAACTTAAGTAAACTAAAGCAGGCCTTTAGAGTTTATACGAGATGCGTACTATTCTAAAGTTAGCGCCGCGGGGATTAGTATAAATTCGGCAGAATTATAGCTAAGTTAGTATAAAATACGTACTATTATAAAGCTATTAAATTATATCGGTAATAGTACGCCCTTTAGAATAGTATACAGCCTGTACTAGTCCCTCTATTATTTTTTTATAATAATACGCCCTTTAGAATAGTATATACCCTGTACTAGTTCCTATTTTATTTTTTTATAATAGTATACAGCCCGTACTAGTCCCTTTTTTATACGCTTTTTAGAATAGTATATAGCCTATACTAGTCCCTATATAGGAATTAGTATAATATCCGTACTATTCTAAAAGGCGTACTATTATAAAGAACTAAAATAAGAACTAGTATAGGCTACGTACTATTCTAAAGTTTATACTATTATAAAGGTGTATATAAGGGACTAGTATAAAATATATAATTTATACTATTACTAAAAGTCTACTAGTATAAAAAGGGCCTAAATAGGCTTTTTACTATATACTATTACTAAAAGTCTACTAGTATAAAAAAAAAGAGGAGCCTAAACAGGCTTTTTATAATAGTACTTATATTATACTAAGTTAGCCCTAATTCTCCGTTCTAAAGGCAGCACTTTATACTAGTATAGATTTTCGCTAATATAAGGCTTAGGCACTCCTAGATATTTATATAAGCCTTTCTAGCTAAGGTATATAGTATTCTAGCCTTTTCTATAATACTAGCGTATTAGAATTACTAGTAGAATATAAGCGCCGGGAGCTAATATAGGCTCTATAATAGTAGTATATTAGAATTACTAGCGGATTAATAACGCCAGCGTTTAAGCGAGCTAGATTAGGTGCTATATCTACTTAAAAGGAGTTATACTAGTTTTAAAGCGGAAGTACTCCTATTCTATATTAGAACTGCTACTATTTTTACTTTAGCGTAAATCTAGTTCTATATATATATAGGAGATTTTTATATAAAAAGTTGCTAAATTTAGAATACTATAATCTATATAAAGTATCTTATTTTTATAGCTTACTAAAGAAAAAGTAAAAAGTTTATACTTAGGTAACTATACTATAGACCTCTAGGCTATATTATTATAAGTATATTTTATTTTCCAGGGGCATCTAATAAAGCTTGCAACTAAAAAACTTTCTTTTTTTAATATACTTTAAGTGCTTCCGTTTAAAGTATTTACTAAAATTGCCTTTATAGCTAAATTTATATATCTAATCTTCGATTAGTAGATTAGGATTGCTAATATATTTCCAATATCTTTTCGGCCTCTTTTCTTTATATACTAACACCTTTACTATTTCTAGTACTTTTTTATTATACTTTAACTAGCTTTTAGCCGGCGGAGCAACCTTTCTACTCTATTACTTTACTTAAAAAGGGTTTATTCCGCCTTTTTTAACCCTATAATATTCCGTAATAGCTTAAATAGCTCTATTACGCCGGCGTATTTCTACTTCTAAAGTAATTCCCGGCGGGGCTATAATAGTATTAGCCAGCTTTTTCTATACTAGGAGTATAGCATATTAAGGCTATACTAAGACCTTATTTTTAACTTTAATACTAGTAAGCTGCTGCTTAATATTACGTATAGGTTGCTTATACTTCTAGTAATTCCTAACAACCTTTTTAAAAGTATCTTACTGGCGCTGCCTTTCCTAGTTAATTTTGCGATTAAGCTTTTTATACTTTAGATACTTTATAGGATTTCGGAGGTTATACCTAAGTTACTTTTATTATTAAAGTAGGTAAAGAACTTTAGGATAATTATTTACTAACGCAGATTATTCCGGAGTAAGCTGTTATAGCTATTAGGTATCGATTAAGCAACTTATAGTATAAGCTGCTTGTATTATTATATTTTAGGGCTAAATACCTTATATAATAGCTTATATATCTATAGTAATTTTTCGCAAAAAATAGTATTTTAAAAACGTCTAAATATCGCGGTGTATTATTATAAGGTTTTATATAGCCTTACTAATATTACCTATATATTATATTAATTCTATATTTTCCTAATAACGGTTTAGGCTAAGCTTACTATTTTTATTAAAGGCCTTTCCTTTATTATATTTTAATAAATAGGAATAGGTAATTTAGGTAAACCCTGTAATTTCTTTTAGTACTCTAATTTAGGGCAGTAATATAGAGTACTAAAAAGGCTAATTAGAAGAAATAGCCTAGCTATTCGGGGTTTTTATAAGTTACTAAAGTACTAGAATATTATCTAATTTACTATTAAGGCGTAATAGTAGCTTATTATAGCCTAGTAAAATATAGAGCCTGCTTAATTCCTTTTCGGATATTAGATTATATACTATAAACGCCTAATTGCGGAAAAGCACCCTAAAAAGGGAAATATATAGACTAAAAATAAAGGATTTATTATAGATAATTTTAGGGAGAGGGAAGGTGTTTTTTACTAAAATTAGCATTCTCTTAAAAATATATAGATATTAGCTAGAAGACTTATAAACTTATATATCTTTTATCCTAAGGAACTTCTTTATAAATTTAAAGGTAAACTCTAGCAACACCCGATAAGGCCCCTTCTTTAGATCCCGGAGTAGGGTAACCTATATATATTAATAGCGGAGCCTAAAAATAGCTTATAGCCGATTTACCGTAAACCTATTAAGCTATAAGTAGATTTAGGCTTATATTCTACACCGTCCGTAAGGATATCTCTTTTTAGTTATTATAAGGTTTATTTATAGTATTTTAGTCTAATCCTCTATATATATACAGGCCTTATCTCGCCCTACCTTCTTTACGTTATACTTCTTAGCCAGTTTTCTTAGCACCTTATGCATGCTCCGGTTTATTTTGCTATCTATTTTACCACTAGTTACTCTTTTATATACCAGGCGATATACCTTCTAGTATATCCTAAGGGAGCTGGTATACTTAGTACCCTAACGTTTCCTCCCTCTCTTCCCTTAGCGCTAACTAAGTAGCCAGTTAAAGAAAGTGTATAGTATGCGGACGGACACAGTTGTATAGGAACAGAGGTTGTCTTTTCTAAGGTATATCCAGTATCTATGCTATATCAGCGTTGCATTCTTAAGTCCAACGCAGGTTAACACTGGAGTATAGAGACTAGTAACCTACTAATTCCACTAATCTTCCATGCAATCTAGCAGGCGAGTAGTGCCGTCCTTGTAATCCTCTTTTGTATACTCTTAATTATCGAATATATCCAGCTGTTGGAGGTAGTACTCAGGCGGATGGTCCTCGTCAGAAGATAGCCATACTCCATCCTCTATACCTTCGCATTGCTTGTTATCCTCGTCGTCCTCGTCGGTACAAGTGTCAACGTCGGTTAGATTAGTATCCGACACCACACCGTCGTCTACGTTAGACTCCGCATACTCGCTCGCCTCGGACGAATCATCAACCAATAGACGATGGCGCATGTTAGTGCGTAGAGGTCGACGAAGGTAGAGGTTAACGGAGGCAGAGGTTGACGGAGGTAGAGGTTGATAAAGGTCGACGAAGGTCGACAATAGTAGAGGTCGACAAAGGTAGAGGTTGATGAAGGTAGAGGTTAATAAAGGTAGATATCAATGAAGGAAGAGGTTAACTAAGAGCTTGACGAAAGAGCTTAACAAAGGAAGACGCTAATCTGCTGTAGTGGCAGAGCGGTGTTAAACAAGGTGGTGGTAAACGGTGACCAGGTTTCTGTTGTGGCGGTGAGCCGAGTATTCTCGGCTTCGGATGCTGTCCAAACACTTTTTGCTTCCCGATGGTGTGCAAAAAGGCCTTGTGGTTACTCGTGCCACTGCCGATTGGGAGGCTGGACGGCCTCTTCGCGTGGAGAGGCTGTGTATCCTAAACTCACAGGGGCAGAGCCTACAACCCGAAGGTCAGAGTACGGGTGCCACTTCGCCGTAAGGGTAGGAGTCCCAAGGGTTGGTCAACGAGCAGTGCGGCGTGTGTTTAAGACGGGCGCGATGTCCTAAAGTCGCGGCTTCAGGTGGAGGAAAGACAAGAGAGAGCGGAGGAAAGACAAGAAAGAGCGGGCCTTGTGCGCGGATCCATTGCTGACGAGGAGCAGAAGAGTTTAAGTACGCCGCAGGCAGAGCGGCCTCAGTTTAGGTCGACATGATGCGGGCGTTAAGAATAGACTGAGGTCGTAGGCGTGCCGCTGCGTCCAGGACATAAAACGGGCTCCAGGATCCCTTTAACTGTTGGCGCCTACGCTAACTAACAGAGGAAACCCGAGGGGGACGTGCGCTCGTGCCCGTGCCGGCGCGGTTAGGGGGGTTTTGTGGCAAGTCAGCCTTAGAAAACGGCGTCACAACCCTCCAAAATCAGCAGCCAAAACGCCGTCGGATTGTTTAAGGTAGTAATTAACTATATACCGCTCTTAAAATAGATAGAATGCCGTTGCTTTTCTATATTAAGCTATATTAGAATATACCTCTAGCTTATACTACTAGCGTTTATAGTAAGTATAATTACGCCTATAGTATTACTAAAATTAAGGCTAATAAAAGTAGGCGCGGATATTAGCAGGCTTTTTAGTACTACTATTATAGCCTTTTATTTACTACTTTAAGTAAATAGCACTATTACCTTTATTAACTAGAATAGTAGCTCTATAATACTAGTATATTTTTTAATCTAAATCTAGAAATAGGTGCAGATTCTAAGGAATACGGGTACGGTAGTAATACTATTATATAGTTTCTAACCTATAATTTTTTCTACCTTATTTTTATTAAAATACCGCCCGGTACTATTATATTTATAGCCTATAATTATAACCTTACTAATACTAAAAAAGGATTTTATACTACTAATTATGCAGCCGGCCTGCTTAAAATCCGCTAGAATAGTATTAAGGTTCCGGATATACTCTATTATATAACGCCGGATCCCTAGTATTAATTCCTTGTTTTTATATATAGTTTTTAGCCCTTTTACGCTAATATTATTAAGAAAGGGCAGAGTATTATTATTATTAGGTTCTATTAGGCCGATTTAGCTCCCGTTAGGGTTTATACAGCAGTGCTATCTAGGTTTTATTTATAAGGGGAAACCGTTCGCTCTATAGC